TTCCTTCTTGAGGTCTTAGGTCTCAACCCATGAGATAGGTTGGCTCAAAAATTAGGACTGCTGGAAGGATATCTACTCTGGACTGCTTCATATGGCTTACTCTCCTTAAAGCTAGTGTTCTCAGGGTTGTCAAGACTAGCACCTTTTGGGGGCTCCAAGTCTAAGTGTCATAGTGCATATGGCAGACTGCCTGGTCTTTTTGTCCAGTATCAAGTCACATACTATTGTTTGAAGCCACCACAATCCTGCTCCAGTGCAAGAGGTAGTGGCCTAGACCCCACACCTCTCTATAATAGGAGGCATGTCAGAAAATTGGGGGCCACTTATACTCTATCATTCAACTCTGAAAAATTTCCCTGTAGATGTTTTCTCAAAGTGAAGACATATTCCTCAAGTCCTCTATGGCTTCTGAAGCCAATAAAACTGCCATGTAATGATTTTTCTCTTAGGGAATGTGCATAGAATTAACAGGTGGGCTGGTGTTTTTAAACAAGGGCTGCAGATATCTGTGTCCCTTGGGAGAGATGGGCTGTATTTATTCCATGAGGGAGAACATTTCATCATTATCCGATGAAAGCCCCTTTGTTTAGCATTCATGCTTGTTTGCTTTTACTGTGTGCTGTTTGGATATAGATGCTTCTGCGAGCTTCCGAGGAAAAGCATGGGTATCAATATCTCAAAAGTAATCAAAACGTCCCTCGGGTGGGGCCCAGGCAAAGGAAGTGAGCCCTTACTTCAGCTGCAAAACTTAAAAACCACAAAAGTTGTAATCAAGATAAATGTTTTGTTTTTTATATTTTTATGGGTGTATGTTTGTGATACATGCTGAGTACATTCACTGTGGGTCGTTGGTATATGTGTGTGACGCACATCATTCTTTTACCCCCCCCATCTGTGCTCCCATGCCTGGCTTGTCTGTCTAAGAGCAGAGGCAGAAAGCTGAGTGTGTGGAGAGGGCAGGGAGAGCCCAGTGCACCGTAAGCTTTTCTGGAGGGTGAACAGCAGATCGCTTCGTACGGGCTTGGCAAATACTAGGCCACATCAGTATCTGGTTTGCAAAGGTACAGTTGGCCTTGACTGATAGCTTTTAGGGAAACAACTGGGGGAAAGGGGCTGGGAGCTTCTGCAGGCCATTGTGTGGACTTCCCCAATATTCTTTTATTTTCAGTTCCCCAAGCCACTGTCTTTCCAGGACTTGGGGGGAGGATGTCTTTTTTTTTTTTTTTGACACAGTGTCTCACCATGTAGTTTAATCTGGTCTCGAACTCACAACTCAGCAATCGTCCTGCCTCAACCTCCCAGTGCTGGAATTATAGGTGTGGGTGTGCCTCCACACCGGGCTGGGGGGGCGAGCATTTTCAGTCCTTGACCCCCATCCCCCAAATTTCTGGGGGTAGACGTGCTTCTCACTGGTCCCCATCTGTAGGTGCTTGGATTTAGTTTTTTCTTAGGTCAACTGACACTCAGCCATCATGTTGAAGCTTCCTAAAAATGTGATTTGGTCCGCGGCGTTTTGTCTCATTCTTTATTTCCCTGTGAATTTCTCTTTTATTTTCCTCTTGTATTTGGAGTGGAGATAAAAACTTGTGTTCAGTTCTCCATCTTCTTAGGTAATCTATAATTTTTACTAAACCTTTTAGATGATTATCACATGGTTTTCCTTTAGAAAGGACTTCTTTAATCACCTATATGTTACAGATGCTACATTTTGTCCTGAGAATTAAGGCTATTTGGTACACATTAGGGCCATCTAGTGGACAATTTGAATTTAGCATCTTTGGGGTTGAATCTGACAGCAAACTGGCTGAAACCTAAAAGAGCTACATGTAAAGCATCACTAGCTGTCTCCTTAACGTCTGTTGGGGGAAAGTCTCCCCGAGTAGAACAGTGTCTTGTCCACTTTAGGGTAGGTGGACATAAATTTATTTCGTGGTTTATTTTTGTCACCCATTTCATCCTCATGGCTATCTTAAAGAAGTGCTTTAATAGCCTTGTGGGAGACAAAAAGAAAAAAAGAAAATAATGGACCTGCCTGCTGTTCTTCTGCCTTTATACTCTTTTTATCCATTGCGGCTTGGGTTCTACTCTTCTCCCCTCTGAGATATTTTACTAGTCCATTGCTGGCCTTTGCTCGGAATTCACCGCGAAGGAAAGGGCAGGTATGATTAGGCTGCCGGAGCTGCTGGCAAGGTAGCGGCTCCGAAGTTCTCGCGGCCGACCGGGACAGCTGCCGGTGAACGGTGCTACTCTGCGGTCATTAAGACTTCATGTTACACCGAAGCCAGTCGAAAAGACACCAAGCTACCCAGTCTCAAAAGTTTAGCTTCAATAATTTACTTTAAAAATGATCTGAGGAAGATTTCAGGCAGAAATTTAAAATTACTTCTCGTTTTTTCATAGCTCCAAAAGGATTTTATGTCTATAGCTGAGAATTTAAGCTTTAATCCAGCTAACTCGGGAATCCCACAGTGTCACAATACTGTACTTTTTATATGAATCGTCAGTGTTTCGGCCAAGTGCAAACCAATTAAGGTTTTAGATAGATCAAGTGTGAGCTAAAACCGGCTACATAATTTAAATGCCATCCAGCGGCCAAATGTCATTTTTAGTCTTCAATCAAACAGTTTTGGTACCTTCTAATATTTTTCTTAGTGTGATTTATCAAAGAATTTTGAGTCAAAGATATGATGGCTCCTTCTACGCTTGACTTGAAACAGAATTAGGATATTTCCTTGTCATAAAAATGTTTAACAGTTTGAAATGTACATAAGTCTCAGCTCTTATTCCAGGGACATCTGCATATAGAGCTGTAAAACAAAGAGTTGTTTGCTTGGTTTTGCTAATATGCCATTAAATAGCACTGTCATCATAATTTATTACTTTGTAGTTGAAAAATAAAAAGTGTGTCACAATAATGTCATATGAGTAGTATAAGAAGGAAATTCTTAGTATTGATGGCCAGAGGATTTAGTGTCAACCTTCAGGCTTAGAAAATCGAAAGCTATGAAACAGACACATGATCTGTCCACAAGTGCATGCCACAGACAAATTAGTGTGACAGTAATAATAGTGGCACCAGGAGCAGTAGCCGGCACATACAGAACACACATACCAGACATGGTTCTGCGTGCTCTACTTGTACTAATTCATTTTATCTTTTTAATAGTCTGATGAGGTAGATAATATTGTTATTCCCATTTTATAGTCAAAATTGAGGCATGGAGTTACTAAATTGCATGCCTATAAGAGAAGGGATGAGTAGGGCCTGGAGCATTTGGAGTGCCCCTTGGTCTTTTACCTGGCTTCTGCTAGTCCTGATTTGGTGGGAGGATCCTCAGAGGGTTATGAAAGACCCTTCAGCATCTCCAGGGAAAAGGTCAGATTTTGATCATCCCAGGCCAAAGCTCTAAGCAAGAGTCTGAGAATGTTGGCTCAGGGATAAGGCTGAACAGATAGGATTTTTCTGAGCTCCTGACCAGGTCACCTTTGGTTGGACCCCCCCACTCTTTTGGCTTTGTGGTAGTAAAGTATTCCTAGAGAGTTGAGAGTGCATTTTACTTTCATATAACCTTCTTCTCCATCTCTTTAAGTAGTAAAGAGTGGATTGTTTTGTTTTGTTTTTGAGACAGGGTTTCACTGTGTAGGTTGGACTGGCTTGAACTCACCATGTAGCCCAGCCTGGCCTCTAACTCATTGTGATCCTCCTGCCTCAGCCTCCTGAGTGCTGGGATTACAGACATGTATCACTGTACCCAACAAAATACTTTTCATTTTGGTCATAAACCTGGTTCTGTTCTTCAATTGATGGATTGATGTTTTTGAGACAGGGTTTCACTATGCCACTTAGATCGGTTTGAACTATATAGCCCAGGATGGCCTTGAACTCACAATGATCCTCCTGTCTTAGCATGTGGAGTATGAGGATTACAGCCTATGCCCTCATGCACAGCAGGTATGTGATTTTCTAAAGTCTTAGAGGTAAGAAGTCAGTTTACTATCTCACATAGTGCTTTGCCATTTTAGTGAGGCAAAGGTTTTCAGGTAAAAAATATTTTAAAAATAGAAACAGAAACTTGGATGCAGAGAGATTGTTTTGCTCAAATTTATGTATGTACATAAATGTTCATTCCATGTATTAAAACACAAGCTAGTTTTTCTAGGTACATAGTGTTAATATATATGTGTGTATGTTTATGTGAATAAATGACAAGGCAAATTGAGTGCTTGCAATTTTTAAGTACAGTGGCCAAATGTGAAAATTAAAATTATGATAATTCCAATTTTATTATGTATTTTCTACTTCCTTAGTTGCTATTAATAGATCTTTAAAAGGACAGATAATCAAATCATAGCTATAGGATAGATAGCTTAGGTATTTTCTTGCCTCAAAGACAGAATCTAAGGTTTACTCTAGTCCTGTAATTCTACTTTATTTAAATTTTTAGAATTCTTTAAATTTTCTTTGAAAGTTTTTCTTATATTTTTTCATACAATGATACACAGCAATTTTACAGATTATCATGTTGAATACTATTCATCCAGCAGGAGGCGGCATTTTACTATTAAACTGACACTGCAGTTTCTAACAAAATTGTTTTTCTTTCTTTCTTTCTTTCTTTCTTTCTTTCTTTCTTTCTTTCTTTCTTTTAAAGATGTGGATGACTAAACACACACATCCACAATCCTTTCAAGGCAAAGATTCTTGAACATCACTAGCATTTTGCATATTGAAACAGTTAAAAAAAATCCAAATCCTGCTCAGATTGTGTTTAAAATTACAAATACCACATAAGGTAGCCAAATTCATTGGCAGGAACTGTTTTTGCAATAGACACTGGTGAAAATAATACAAAGCTGAACAGAAGATGTAGTAGAAGGAAGTGAAAATCATTGAGTTATAGCTAACCTGTAGAAAATAAGTGGTCAAGAAGAGCAACACTTGGGAAAAATACATTTGGTTCACTCAGAAATAAGAACCGACATGGATTTCAAGCACTTACCTCATTTCACAAATACAATTTCTTGTTTCTTTCCTTGTCCTTGCAGAGTTACAGGATCTTCAGAAGGGACCTAGAAATGATATGTGGCATATTTCAGTGATATCTAGGCAGAACTCATTTCATTCATCAAGGGACGTGAGTGTCTATCTGCTTTCAAAGAATTAGAAAGGGATTCTACCATGATAGGGGAAATTAAATGAAGATGGTAAGAAAGCAGGAAGAATTCTGTTGCTCTATATTTGACATAAGTACTCAGGACTAACATTAGTGCAGTAATTGGGGCCTGATGCTTGCTGTAGCTTTCCTAAGGGGCTGGGAACTGAGCATCAGTCCCCATGCATATCCCTGTTCCCTGAAATCCTGTCCTGATCTATAAAAGAAGCCTGGAAGAAGTGAGGTGGGTAATTCGTTGCCTTCTCATGGAAGAGGGACTGCTTGTAACTCCCACTGCCAAATGTACAAAGAGGCACAGCACAGCTGGTGTTTAGAACTGTGCCTGCTTTGACCCTTGCTTAGATAGCTCTGGTGGGACTGCCTATTCCCCTCAGAGGAGACAAGATGCAAGGTAGAAAGAGAAGATTGAGAGAGAAGAAGCTGCTGTGGAGCTATGAGATTGCGGGCCTACTGTGTGACGTGGCCAGGGTTTGAGAAGGGCAAGAGGAAATAGAGAAGTCAGCTGTCTCTGACCCATTTTACTGTAATACCCCCTCCATGCTAGTACTGTGCACTATAACATGGGGTGCATTACTGAGGACAGTTGAGGGGTAAGTGGACTGGTTCAGCTAGAGCTAAATTTTCCATACAGGAGACTATGCAGAGGAGAAGCCCCTCCAGGCCCTCTTGCTAATTCTCACATGTGTTCTTTGGCAGGTGGACTTGGTACGCTGGCACTCACTCAGTGTTGGCTGGAGAAGCAGGGCAGTCAGTCGGGAGAGGGCGACAGCTAAACCTGTTGAGTAGGAACTCTGTCTCCTCCTCTCTCCCTCCTCTTGAGCCAAGACAGGGAGGGATGGAGCGATGTGTCAGACCCAGCCCTCCCTTAACCTCATCTCACCCCCAGTGGTCAGGTCTTGACTCAAGGCTTCTCTGGAGTGGTGGGATGGGGTGGAGGTGAATTTAAGTGGAGCCTGAAATGAAGTTTTAGGGTGGTGGTCGGGCAGAAAACCTACACCTGGAACTTCCAGGAGGAGAGTTAATTCGGCTCACAGTTTTAGTCTGTGATCGACTTACTCCTGGGCAGAATTGGTGTGACAGAAGAACATAGTGGAGAAAAGCAGCTCATGTCATGGCATCCAGGAAGCAGAGTGAGAAGCGAGGGGTCGGGGGAGATGCACCCTTCCAGGACCTGGCTCCACCTCCTAACAGCACCCTCAGCTATGAACTCATTAGCAGATCGATCCCCAAGGATCTAGCCATCTTCCCAAAGACCCAAAAGCTTTGAAGGGGACATTCGCAATCTAAACCACACTATTCCACCTTGGCCCCCAAAGGGTTCATGCCCATCTCTTTGTCCAAAATGCGCTTAGTCCATCTCTAAGAGTCACCAAAATTTTAATAGTTTCAGCACTGCTGAAAAGTCCAAGTCTGAGGTCTGCTCTGAGACTTAAGGCAAACTCTTAGCTGTGAGCCACTGTAAAAATAAAAAAGAAAGTGAAACAATTCTGCATCACTTGTCAGCCCTTTGGCTAAGATCAGGTGAAAGTTAAATAATTCTAACATACAAGTGGCACACTGTAAACATGGTCATTCCAAAAGGGAGAAATGGGGAGATAGAAAGGAATTTAACCAAAGCAAGACTGGAACCAAGTAGAGGAAACTTTAGATTCTGTAGTTGCATATCCAGCACCAGGGCGGACTGTGGGGAGATATCCAAAAGGCTTGGGCAGCCTTTCTTCCGTGGAAATGCCTGTTGCAACCCTCATGGCCTCTGTTAGGTGGCTCCACTCACTGCCTATGGCTTTCCTTAGCAGATGATCCACATTCCTGGTACCTCCAAATTCCTGGAGTGTCCACTGTACATTTGGCCTCACTCTTCATACACTGTCCTCACAAAGATACATTGTTTGGGTCCCCAGATCTTCTGAAATTGGAGCAGAAACCTCCATGGCCACCACAACCCTTGCATTCTGCATCCTGTAAAACAAACATCACACGGACGATGCCAAAGTCTGCTGCCAGCTTTAGCAGTAGCCAGGCCCTCTTGGGCTGTGGTTGCAGATGCCTGTGAGTGCCTGGATAACTGAGCACTATGAAAGAAATCTTTAGGTAGCCCTTATTTAGCAAGAGATCCTGGGCCCATGACTGTGAAGAGTGGGTCTTGCTTATTCTTTTTTTTTTTTTTTTTTTTTTGTTTTTCTCCAGTACCGGGAACCGAACTCACGACCTTGCACTTGCCAGGCAGGCGCTTTGCCGCTGAGCTAAATCCCCAGCCCCATAGGTAGCCCTTCTTTAGCAAGAGATCCTGGACCTATGACTGTGAAGAGTGGGTCTTGCTTATTCGTGAGATGCCTTCCAGCCATCTTTGCTATTGTCCTCATGCATAGCTCTCAGCTTCTTTGAATGCTGATTTTTTCAGTAACCATTCTCTACCAAAGCATTTCCTTTCTAATGAAATTGCAAACTTTTACATTTGTTTTTCATTCTAGATCTGGCTAAAGGAACCAGCAGTACCCATGCCCAACCTGATGTTAGTGTGCTTTGCAGTTTCCTCCATCAACTTAATTAGTCCACAACTCTTAATCTTAGTTTCTTGTAAAGTCTCGGGACATAAGCAAAATAAAGACAAATTTTCTGCCAGAGCATAATACAAATGGTCTCTAGCCCAGCTGCTGATGGAGTCTTGGTTGTCAATGGACAACTACAAACCTAGCCTTTACTGTGCATTTCTATCAGCATTCCAGTCTTCTGAACTCTGGACAGTACTGCCCATAAAATTCAGCTTATATCCCTGTAGGGCTTCTCTAGCCAGCCTCTCAAAATCTCTCTAATTTCTCCCACAAACCATTTCCAAAGACTTCTAAACTGGATAGTCAGGTATAGTCATAGCAATGACCAAAATCTTTGTCACTTTTCTTAGGTGGAACAAAATACCCAACACCTGAAACTCGAAGGAGGAGTTTGTGAGCCCATGATTGGCTTGTTCCAAGGCAGAGATAGCATGGCAGAGGGATCTTGCAGAAGAAAGCTGCCGATGTCAAGGCAGAGAGGAAGCAGAGTAGGAGGGGAGGAGGCAGTGCTTTTCCAGGTCCTGTCCCCAGGGACCTCCCTGTTCCAACCAGGCTCCAACTTCCAACAGCACACAGCACTTAAATGATCCAGATAGCTTCCAAAGCCCATCTCTGAAACGTGAGGCTCTTGGTAGACACTGTGGATCTAAATCATAACGTGGAGGAAATTGAAACAGTATTTCCCACCCAAAGGAAGTGATGTGTGTGTGTTGGGAAGTGTGGTGATGGCCAGGAAGGAGACACAGACCTACCACACACGCTCACACCTACACTCACATACGTACTCTCCACCCAAGACGGGAGAGGAAGGGAGAGGAAGGGTGGCAGCTGTCAAATAAATACACTCTTGTTTTCTTCTCATACTTTCATGACCAAAGCACAGATGGAGCTAACAACTAACTGTATCTTTTTGAGCCCATATTTGCAGAACAGGGAGTTTTGTAGTTTTCTTAGATACAGCTAAGTGGATCAACAATATCTACTATGGAGTCTCTGAGGCAGTGAATCAGAAATGGATGAAGGCAGTATATCTAGGCAGAGAAAAGGTCAAATATAGAACCCCAAGAATCTCTTGGCTTCTGTGGTGTGGAAGGATCCAGAAGTTCTTACCTGTCCTGCAGCAGGAATTGAAAGTAGAGGCCTCCTAGGGTCCTGGTAGCAGCAGATGAGATGAACCCCAGCTTAGCCCATCAGGGGCACTTGAAAGATGAGCGGGGGTAGCTTTGAGGACTTGGAAGACCAGCCTGTGCTAAGGAGAAGACAGTTAACAGGGGCAGGACCCCCAAGTTCCCCAGTCTTCCAATGCCATTAGCAGGGTGTGGCTGAATAGTGTGGGGTTACCTCTGAGGTGCCAGCCCTGGGGTCGGGCATGCTCCTTGGAGGTAAGTAATCTCTTCTCTGCCCACGAGTCTTCATCTTGGGAGGGAGGGAGAAGAGAGGAGGGACAGTCTTAGAGGAAGCTTGGGTTTCTGAGCTGTCGGCATATGAATCTGAAAGAGACTGCATAAACCAGGTAGCCGATTGACTCACCTGGCAAGTTTGTTCTTCTCTTTCCCAGCCATCTGCAAGGTGGGAAAGAGAGCTTCTATGGCAGTTTATATCACTTATAGAAAGACATGATACACCGCATTTTTAGTGTGTCTAAGTTGTAATGTGATATTAAGCAAATCCCACTTGTGTGTTCTGTTCCCTGTAGTGCTAGTGTGAGTGGAAAAAGAGGCTGAAAGGGTGTGTGTGTGTGTGTGTGTGTGTGTGTGTGTGTGTCTGTCTGTCTGTCTGTGTGACTGGGTGTCTGTGTGTGTCTGTTCGGGATAGAGACTGGAGAGAAAGAATTTGAAGTCAGGGAAAAGGAGAGAAATAGTGATCGGAGGACGGGTAGACAGGAAGGAGGAACTGAGGAACAAGGGCTTGGAGGTGACTGGAACAAAAGGGTTTGCTTAGAACTGAGACTTGGGGAGACAGGAATTAGAGAAGAGTCTCAGGGAGCCTCTCGCATTGGAGTGTGTGATGAGACACCTTCCTATCTTCTCAGTCACCTTTTATCAAGAAGTACATCTCTGCTTTCCCTTTTTGGATCGGTTTCCTGTTTTCAGCCTTACAGTCTGGTGTGTTTTGCCTGGACTCAGGGGCTGGAGGCCTTGGGCTCTTGTCACACCCTGGTGACTCAGGCTGAGGTTTAACAGGTTCTTCTTACTATTAAGTATATCTTGTGTCGGTCCCGTGTTGAAATATATGCTATCTCTTCCTGTTTTGCCCCTCTGGAGATTAATCCATCTCTGACATGCTTAATAGCTATTGTAAACTTAAACTGGTGAAGAAATTCGTTTGCACAGTTTTCTTTCCTAGGTAGAATAACTGCAGTGTCTTTGGTCTTTTCTCATAGGTCATTGGAGCCATTCTTCCCCAGTCTTTTAAGCATCTTTAGCATTCTTTGGATTTGTCACTAAGTCTTTAGTTAATCAGCCTAGAGAAAGATTAGCATATACCACAAACAGTGCTTGGCTTGTGTATTTATGAGTCACACTTTACCTCAACTATGAGGTTACATTTATTTATTCAGATAATTTGCTTCATTAAATAGAAGGTCCAGCTTTAGTTATAATGGCCCCAGTGATTTCAATTGTCTGCTAATTATTGTGTACTATGTAGTTAGGTCTATAGTGATTGCATTTGTACTAAACATATAAGACTTTTTTCCTGTCATTGTTCCCTAAAAAATACTGTATAATAACAACTTATGTAACATTCACATTGTATCCAGTATTATTAGTGATCTAAGGATGATCTAAAATGTGTGGGAGGGTATGCATAGGCTATGTTTAAATACTAAACCATTTTACATAAGGAATTTGACCATCCATGGGGTTTGGTATCCACAGGGATCCTGGAATCAATCTCCTGTGGTTACTGTATTTAGGAGTTTAGTTTATAAAAAGTTCAAAGTGTATATTTACTTAAAATGAGAGAACTTTAAGTCTATCATAAATGTCTACTTTGGTTGATTTCTTGCTTAACGAGGCATAGTATACAAAAATGCTGAACAGTTCATTCAACCATGTGAACAAAGTAGGAATTCTGCAGGATTAAATTTCAGGATAAGGCAATGAGAAAATTCCATACAATTATGGGAAAATGAGAAGAAGGAAACAATCAGTTTGTCATTTTCCAGGAAAGAAAAGGTTTTTGCCTTTATGCCTCAAATTATGTGGTCCACTTTTGGGTTTAAAAATAGTGTTGCAAAAGCTGATTGGGAGAGTTATACTGAGGGTATCTTTCATAGTCAGAGGTTTCTTGGTAGTTGAGGATAATACCTATGGTACTTGAGGATATTACCAGATATTTCAGTGTTCATGAGCTCCAGCACAAAATAATAGATGGAGTTTGAAAGCCTTTGTTGAGGCCACGTTGAAACTTTGGACAAGGTCAAAGTTATTTTGAAATACCAAGTCCTTCATTATTATTATTTTTTCTTTTTTTAATGTCTTGGTTTCTTGAGACAGAGTCTCGTTATGTAGTTCAGGCTGGCCTGAAACTCCCTGTGGAGCCAGGCTGTCCTTGAACTTGTGATCCTAATACCCCAGCCTCCTAAGTGCTGAGATAAAAGACATGTGCCATCTTGTCCTGCCTAAGTACACTATTTTAAAAATTACATTATTTTTGATCAACGAATAGAAAAGTAAAAGCTTTACTTGAGAATGTGTTATAGCTGTAAAGTAAGTGAAATTTGAGCTAATTATCTAACTAATTCAAATATAAAAGTTTGAAATACTCATTTAGAGGCAAAACTGAGTTTGAATTGAATCCTTTATTGAATTGCCTTAGTTCTCTTTAGGAAGAATCAGCATCAAAACTGAAAAGTGATGTTTACAGCTACCATTTTTGTTTTCTTTGGGGACTATCATTTTGGTAGCAGATTATTTATTTGACACTTAATTGGCGGGTACCTAGCCATTAAAGAATGTTTTCTCTAAGTAATTTCTTTGCCTCTGGCCTCATTTCCTTGTATGAATTCTTTTATTTCGACTAATTCTCTTGTTGAAAATGAAGAGAGAATGGCCTGGATATGCTGCACTTAGCAGGTCTGCCCCTGTATTTTCTGACTGTCAGTGAGCTCATTAATCACGGTGCAGCCCTTGGTGAGAGGCCTAGACATGGCACCGTGAACAAACATGAGAAGAGCCGGGCACAGCGGGAAGACGGGCAGCTCCGGTCTCCAGTGTCGCACCGTGCTTGTTTTAAACTCTGGAAGTGAAATTCACATGCCGGTGCTCAGACCGCGCGCACCCAGCAAGTACGTTTGCTAGCACCCAGCCCCACGAGACCATCAAACCCCAAGAAGGGTGGGTCATCCTCCTGAAAAATATGGCACAGGTGCAGCTCACGGCCTTGAGCCCTGCTTCTGTTCCGACATGTAATTGTGTCTTTGCCATTCCGAAGGCAAACCAGGAGAAATGTCGTATGTGAGGTATAACCAGCATGATTAATCAGCAGTGAGATGGGCCGCTCATAAAAGCTTGGGAAAGTAGGCCCGAGGTTGGGAAGAACAAGCTCAAAAGCACAGGAAAAGAAATGGGAAGCAGTTTACCTGTTTTCCGGGCCTCAACCCTCCAGTAATTCACATCACAGTGCAACCACCGTCACAGTATTTTACATTTTCAAGACAATTTTGGTCTAAATATCTTGGTCATTTAAAAATAAATACAATGGCTATTACAGTTCTTTTTTTTGGTACTGGGAATTGAACTCAGGACCCTGCACTTGCCAGGCAGGTGCTTGTGCCACTGAGCTATATCCCTAAGCCCAGCTATTACAGTTTTGTTTTTAAATAATTTTTTTTTTTTTTTTTTGAGACAGTGTCTTGCTATGTGGGCCTTAAACTCACAGTGATCATCCTGCCTCAGCCTCCCGAGAGCTGGGACTACAGACAAAAGCTCTAGCTGAATTTCTAAGTTGCCTTGGCTGGGCTTGAATTTTAAATCCTACTGTTTCAGCCTCCCAGAGTGCTGGGACTAGAGATTTGTGCCACCAAGTCTTGTTGAGAGACTTTTAATTAAATTAAAAGTAGCAATTTTTTTCAGACAGGGTCTCACTATGCAGTTCAGGCTGCTCTTGAACTAACTTTGTAGCCCAAGCCGGCCTCGAACTTGCAATGACGCTCCTGCCTCAGCCTCCTCAGTGCTGGGATTACAGGCATGTGCCACCACACCCAGCAAAGTAGCAATTTTGGAAAGCAGAATATGCTAAACATCTGGAATATTCAAGAGAATGTTTTAAAAGAGTCTTTGTTATGTCTGTGAAACACCATCCACATGCTTTTTTATACCGTCAAAAAGGATATACTTGGTTGAAAAGCAGTCACAGAATTTATGTTTACATGACTGCATATCTCACAATCAAAATATAAGTTCATTAAGTTTGTTCCAAGGATTTGTCAGTTTACATGTGATTTATTCTTGTTGACGAGGACAGAAATATTGAGTTAAATTTTTGTATCAGACCTATGTCTTGTAGGATTTAAAATAAACCAGTCTGGGTGACCTGAGTACAATCCAGAAAAATGATCACTGATGAGAATAATGCAAGAGTCCAGGTAAAGCAGACGAACATGTTTGCATATGTTATATATGAAAGCACAGCTTTGTGTTTCAAAAATAGAAGGCCCTGATTTGGTTTTAAGATTTTGATACTTTCATAACCCAGGCAGATTCTTTGTCATTGTTCTTCACTATTCTGAAATGTTTACTTCACCACTTCTGCCGGCCCCTGGTGTGCACACACCTTAGGCCTTGTCATTTCTGGAAATGCTTCACAGCCGGTACTTTTCCTCTTTGGGTACAACTTTTTCCTTCCACCTCTTCTGTTTGTCAACCTTTTCTAAACGTTTCTTCCTCATCTGCCCCGGCACTCCTCTGTGTGTGCAGTGGTGCAGACTCCGGCCTCTGCTTCCCGCTGCTCACTCCGGGGCCTCGGCTTACAACTCGTCAGGGCCAGAGCAGGTCCCTGAGAATGTGTATTTAGAAGGGTGAGCAGCGTCCATCTCTGCGACGGCCCTTCCCCAACACCTCCGTCTTCTTCCAGGTCACTGGCCCGTCACTGCAGAATCCTTTGCTTTCCTGCTGCGTGTCAGGAGGGAGAGAGCAGAACATCTGGAGCAGACACCTTGTCCAGAAGTCACCCACATCATTTGCTTGTGCTCTCGTGGCCAAAAGAACTCCAAGAGAAAACTGCAGAGATACCTGGAAATATTTATGAGCTTTAGCAATTTCTTTGACACTAGTCTTGTAGAATTTTAGATTTTGGTGGAGATGCCTCTTTGTAATTCTCAGGATTGTGAGTGGCTTCCTAGGGATCTAGTTTATATTTTATTCTTTACTTAAAGTGATACCTCAGCACTCCTCATTCATTGGTTCTGGGAGGCCCAGTGTGTACTAGAAATGAATACTGAATGAATTGTTTTGGCTGGAAAGGGTAGAGAATCACAAGGCAGTTAACCCGTCAAACAAGAACCAAGACAGGGCTGAGGATTTAGCTCAGCGGCAAAGCGCCTGCCTGGCAAGTGCAAGGTTGTAAGTTAGGTTCCCGGTACCGGAGAAAAACCAAAAAAAAAAAAAAAAAAAAAAAAGAACCAAGACAAACTTTTGCATTAAAATGCGTGGAATACCAAATTTGATAAGTTTCACAGTAATCAAGTACTGAAGTATGATTTTATTTAACAAATATATGTAATGCTTACTAAGAGCAAGGTAGACATCTCAGTGATCAACACATTTTACTTCTTACAACGACCATACGAGGGAGGTACTCATTTATGTGGTATTATAAGTATCTAGTTCTTATATACTTTCAGGTATATAACTGTACCTTGGTGTATATATGTATGGATGTATTTGTGTATATATCTGTCTATGGAAACACTGAGGCCTAGAAGAAAATAGCTTTCTTAAAAACTGGCCAGAACCAATTATTTAACTTGGATATCTGTTAAATCTATGTTTTAGTCACTATGTAACGCCTTCTCCTCCTGAATTTTAATTGGTGATTCATTTTTCTCTTT